ACACACACACACACACACACACACACACACACACACACACACAAACAGAGAGAGGGGCATGTATAAAAAAAGTTGCGTAAACAGCCTATTGAAAAAGCGCTTACAAAGAATTTCCAATTCCTCACCGCACTCACCTAGCACATTCATTTCGTTCCAGCGGGGATCTGGTTGACACGCTAGTGGTGAAAAATCTCCAACACAGAAACGATGTGGGTGCGATTCAATAGGTATAGTGGATTGATCGTCATCCGAACGGATTCGCTCGTTCAGTTGTTCATCTCTGTCATTCAATCCTCCACCGTCCATATTTCCAGTACCCACGACTTGCCGTCTCTCACTGTCCCGGTTAGTCCGAGTCACCTCTCTCGCAGACGCGCGCAGATGACTGATGCCATTATTTGAACTGCTGGGATCATTCGTAGATGCGGAAACCTTTTTCACCGACAACTGGGACGAGACCGGAGATGATGGGCGAACGTAGCTCAGGTGCTCCGCCCACAGCTCGTCTAGAGTTGATTTGGATAAGCGCAGAGTGGTTTGCCGAGACAGTTCCAGCAAAATATTATTCACCGGCACCAGTTCAGTCGGATTGGACAGGTATATCTCGCCTAGGCCAATTAGAACACAATACGAATGAAGAATCTGTAAGTGGTTACCGATCCAAAGTTAATGGACAGAAGAGGTACGGTCATTCGTGATCAATGATAAACTTGTCGATATTCAGTTCAGTTCAGTTTGTATGATCAAGAACCATTCTCTTCCACGTGCTTGCTTTGATCTGTCTTTCGGCTACCCGATTTCTGGACTCACGAAGAAAGAAAGATAAGAAACAAGCAGTCCAATGGAGCAGGGTTTCTCGTGGTGGTGGTGGTAGGCTACTTGACTGTTGTCCGTCTCAATACCACGCTTAACCTAGCGAGGCCTTATGTAGTTCACCACTCTAAGACCTGGGGCTTAGGTAGCCGGTCTCGGTGACTGAACAGCAGATCCTTGTTACTATGGGGTTTACCCGTCTGTTGCTCATTACACAAAAGAATCGCTGAATTTATTATTCTCAGATGAACAAAATAGAAGGAGCAAGGTGGGAGAAAAAAATTCAGTCCTAAATGTACTGAGCTGCCATCTAGTTTGCACCAAACAGCAGTAAGCCTAACACATCTATGGGCTCTGATAATGATGAGGAAAAGATTAGCCAGACTATTGTAGATGCGAGCGTTTGTTAATGGGGGAGGGGTGAAATTTTGCACGATCCCGTTACGCGTCCTCATAGTGCCAGATGTTGATTTATACAATGTTCAAAGTTCAGAAACCGCTTTTTGTTTGCGTAGGAAGAAAACAAACGCTTTTTGTGCAACTTTATGTTATCTATATACATCCGATCGATATAATCGATATAAATTTATTGTGGTCAATCGGGATTTGAAATACGGTGCGGGAGAAAAAAAGGGAACCATGTTTAAGAGCCGTATTTAACAACTGTCCACAAATCACAACGCAAATACCATATCAATCAACTTCACTGGGGACAGGAAAATAATTTTAGGGGCATACAACAGTCAATGCATGCGCAAAGAGCCTAAGGATAGAAATGTGCGGTTAAAAACTGGAAACATTTCGTGTGAACCTGGCCAATTTGCGAACACCCAGATCGGTGGCAAGGGGTACGACGCATAAACTCTATGACTTTTTATGGGTTAAAAGAGGACAGGTTTAATTACTGCAGCCATGAGGTCAAGGTATTCGCGCAGGGTTTTTAGCTCCGAATCCGAAAGTTTGTTGTTTCGGTCTCGGTAAGGATAGGAAAAATCTTCCCATCGTTGACCAGTACTGATAGAGACAAAACAGATGTCCACTGTTGTTTGCCGCTCGTTACATGCATTCACATCCAAAACATAATTACCATTGTCAGCCCCAGTAATTACAGTGAACCACAGTGACTATCAAGTTACGACATGATGAATGTTACACGAAATTAGCCCTAAAGTGCAACCAAAGAGTTTTGTGCAAATTTTGACCTATCACAAAAACAGAGAGTCGTGCCACATATTTGAGGAAATACTTAGTTATGAATCTAATGATGTTCTCACATTAAGTATTAACCATAGACAAACAACAGGAACAAAAACGATTAAGAATTATCAGTGGAAATCCTCTGGAGATGACAAATTAAACCTCTTACTAAAACGAAAACTGGTTGTTCAGTGCTAAATTTTCATTAGGGAATATCAGGCTAGTTATTGAACATCTGAACTCTCACTGATTAGGAACTCTAAGAGAATAGACCGACAGTTTATTAAGAACTACAGGATCTAAAGAAAAGCAGCGTGAGAAAACGTGTATGAAATAGCTAACATAAAGGATTACAGGGGTCTATCTGTTACTGCTTGCTTGCACTTATAAAATTGTCCCAGTTTCAATCTCTGTTGGAGTCGGGATATAAATGAGTAGAATACTCTGCAGACAATCATCGAGAGCGGGCTGTTGGAATCCTACACGCAAAATTACTTGAAACTTAACAGGATTGTAACTTTGGAACAACCTTAATGCATTCTTTTAAGTGACCGTCAATATCCCTGATTGAGTGAGAACACAACAATAAGCATGTCTGGTGTTGTCTGTTTTATTTAATTGGCCTCCTTGGCTAAAAGTCAGACGGACCATAAAGACAGACAGGGAACCATGTGTACACGATAGATAAGATGACGCCATTGGTAATTTAGTACTGAGGCCAGAATTATGCGTGCCTTCGGAAGCAAGGGTACGAAATCTAACTTGAACATTACGGTTTAAGAACCAATGAAGAAAATTCAGTACTAAGTTAATACACCGAGAAGTCTACTAAGAAACCCCAGAAAAACGGTAAAACCGATCGAATTGGGACTTGCAAAGCATTACATCGATGCTTAATCCCAACTGTCTAGGACCTCGTATCTAACTTTCACCTGGGACTCACTTTTTTGCGACACACCGTAGATCACCCGATGGCACCAGAGCAATTCATTAGCAGTTATCCCGTTCATGTCCGACGTCGGTCGTGAATCGCTCGTGTCCACGACCAGTTGGGCCAACACAATCACTGCACCGCGTTGAATCCATGCGGAAATCCATTCGATTAGCTCCTCACACAACGAATGTCCACGGATCTTAGAAATCCGAGCTCGTGAGGCCATGCTGATTGGGTACGGCCATACAGTTCGCCAGGCATGTACACCCATCAGAAATCGGCCAGCAACCAGACGGCTCACAGTTGTCCGCGAGGACTTAGAGGCACAGCTTGAATGGGAAGTGAGTAGGTCAACAAGCTTGGAAGCACAACCACGACGCCAGTCAGCTGCGGATAAATGGCTTGATACAGTGACCCATGGAGTGGAAATGTGGGGCTCCATTTGCACAGATCCCAGGTGTGAAAGACTGCTGAAGTTTGGACAGAGCAACGAGGACCCCAAATGACTACAAGATAGAATGTAGTTGACTAGGCAATTGTTTTGATTCGGGGATGGCCAAGAAATTTCTCTGTCACACAGATGTGTGCACAACTCTCCACTCTGAAAATAGTCCCGCGGCACAGTCGATCGACGGGGAGAAACCAAAGCGGCTGAAGTGAACGACGATGAGCGGATCACAGACGAGTCCATGTAAGAGAATACAGCTTGAACAGTGGTTGAGGCTGCCGAAGATGAGCGGGATACAGCAGGCGCCTCTAAGGTCGGTTGATGAACTGAGATCAAGTTGGTTTCAATATTCCGAAGACCATAAAGACTGGCGCAAAGGTCTTCTAGGCCACACCGATGTAGAAGCCGCAAGCCTTTCTGCAAAACGAATTACAACGGGATTAAACGTTAAAGAGAGAACCGGAAGTAGTCAGAAAATATCAATCAAATTCTGTAAAGGAACTTTATCAGAATTTGTAGACGAGCAGTCCAGATAGTCAAAGCACACCAGTGGCCGAGGTAAAACCTTATTGGGATTGGTGAACGTGTACAGAGGACAGTTTTTTGAATGAACAAAACAGGCTTGCCCTTCTAGTAGGCTTTACTAATGATAGTTGGTAGTCACTCAACTTGAAAAATTGGTAAATGTTTGAACGGTGAGAAGGTCAATGGTCTCGGTGGGATGCAAGCACACACGCACAGAAGCTGCCTAGGTTTGTGTGTAATACTATCCGCCAATTGAGCAGCGACGAGAAAAGATAGCATTGAACTTCCATATCTGGTTCACTCATCCAATCTGCAGAGCCGAATGGAACCTAACCCAGGTAGCATGTAAGCTGCTGGTCCCGACAGGCTTTCCACCGAATGAATTTTAAGGCTGAGGCCAGGGCAGGGGAGATAGCCTAGTGACAGGGTGTATTACACATGCCTAGATAAGTTGGGTGAGTGAACCAAACGTGAAACGACGAGGGTGGAAGCGAAAAGAAAGTGAACCACTATGGTTAACATACAGATTAGACTATCTAGCTATGTATGCAATTTTCAAGCATTCCGGCCTGACAAGAAATGATAACAAGAATGCCACTGCTGTCGAATCCTTGTCAAAATGTATAAAGTTGCTTAACCGAACTGCCAACTATTACATGAGCCCGATTGTATTCCAAAGATACTACAATTATGGCGACAAACATCTCATCTAGCGTCCTGCAGAACATCCGTTTCATTCATATTTATTGAAACATACAACACTCAATCAGCATAGCACAATCTTTCGCTATTAACTGACACTCATTCAGACTTTGTCTTAACGTGCAAGCACCATTCAACTGTACAAACAGGAAGCTTCGGAGTTCAGTTTCACTCTCCCCAGAGGTCATCTATGGAACACAGCCATCATCCTCCTCTCTCGGACTTAGTGCATGGAAAGTAAGATAAAAAACACTGTAAATGGTTCAATAACATGCCTAAATAGTTGGGACTTTGTGTGGCTCGTCCTAGATCGGTTATCGTATAAGATCAAGCTTTGGGATTGTATCAACCTTTCCATTCCTCGTCCCACAATGGCGGCCAACACAAAATTATACCTGGTTTGACTAGTTCAACAAATTGAGTTTGCTCAAGTATCGGCCTGCAACGACAGTTAGTCCAACTGCAACGAAGGGAGACAACTGAGCGAACAAAGAACCGGCGACAGTGAAATAGAATCAACGCAAACCAGTGGATAGCCAGAATTTAATGAACGCTACTGTTAATGATCTTGCCTACACAGCTCGTCTTCGAACGTGTCTAAAAACAGTGATGTGCTCATTGTATCTGACAATGAAAACAGACGGATGTCTATGAAACGGACCTAGTCACGACCGAATATTGGTGGTTGGACGGTTCGGCTATTTGATCAATTCTATAAGACCTCACATTGTGAATCACAGACGAACAGGACTCTACTTCCTGTGCTCTGTCTCTGACAGTTTACTGAAATCTTTGCTCAAGCATTTGTGTTCATTCGTCCTGTACACTGCCAGTTGTCGTTAAGTGCGAGATTACCTCGTAATTTCATAATCCAGAAAATGTGAAACCTTCAAAGAAGTGAATTATCCAATAATGTGCTCCTTGTTCCCATCACCCATTACATACTCGTTCAATACATGTAACTTCATCAACTAGAAAAATGGACAAATCAACCCGTGTCACGCACGAACTAATCCTCTATATCTGACTCCTCCATTTTTTGTTGAGAAGTCATTCGAAAGTTAAAACATTTGGGAGGCACCGGGATAGCACTCTTTGTTCTCTATTCTACTATTCCCAAAGATTCACGTCAATGCTGATTTTCGAGTGAATTTTATTTTATGTGCGTGATAATATACAAAGTAGTCAGTTAACCGCTGCGAAAATATGTCCCGGGATAAAAAGGATAACTTTTACTGTGGCATAAGGAGGATATGGCAGCAAATATCCCGGCGTGCGATGCCTACCGGAGCAGTTAGTGGGTCAAACTAAGGCTTGGCATGAAAATCTTGACCAAGGAACTTGATCATATGGTTGCATTAGAATTACCGGCTGAGGACCTCTTGATTGACCTTATTACTGGTTAGAGAAACTGCGCGGTACGAATGAATGCTGTAAACAGTGGCGCACACTTCCTAAGCAGATCTAGTTTGCCTGCTTTTTGTATTTTCATATCGATATTGCTCCTGGCTTTAAGCTCATTCACTTGCTCTTTTTTATTAGCCGATTAAATAGTTAGCCCAGAGGCAGGAAACACAACAATCGTGCGACGATGCAGGTTAAATAGGACGAAAACGGCTATCGAGTTATAACAAATGTTCCCACGAAATGCACCTCTTAAGTCATCTACTGGAAAAGCCCTAATCACTGCCTGTTCGTGTTTTCACGAAAGCGAAAGGACGAAAGCCGATCTCGGGGACTAAAATCGGATTAACGAGACAGGGGCAGTGGACCTAATTAGAAGAGATGGAAAGTCTTGATTTCAATATTCTGGTTCCAGGATATGCTGCCTGCTATGGGCACCAGTTTGACAGAACGATAGGGGGTAGTAGGCACCTTCCACATGTGAATGGCTTCTCAAAAGCGTAAGATCCAACTGACTGAACATTGCCCTGATTCTTTTCACGTCAGACCTTGGCTCTCTGAAGGCTCGGGATGTAAATAACCTGCTTTTTGGTGGCGTATTTGGCAGTTCCGCACCCACAAACAAACCATGGATCCAGTTCTTTGTCGTCAAGGTATTTGTACTGTGATTTATTTGATATAGTGTCCGTTCGAAAAAGTGTG